TTTGCATTAAAGCTACGTCACAGATTCAGCCCTTGCAAAAACAGGGCTAAAAGAAGAGCAAATAGAGCGAAATGAGGCATGGCTAAAATGCATGATCTGTTTGGTATTTTGAAGAAAAAACTTCGCAGACATGTTTTATATAGGTATGGCCCTACAATATATTATTCAAATATAGCATGATAGGTCCACTTTAAGTACATTTTGCTTCTAATAATACTTTGTACTTTTACTCTAGTAAGATTTAGAATGCATGAGTTGTAATGAATGTATTGGTACTTTTACTCAAGTAAAGCATCTGAAAACTTCCAAGACCAAATAAAATGTATATGTTTCTGAGCGACATGTTGTGCTTCTTCCTCTCACAGATTTGGCTTTGTGCACGACAAGGTTTCAGCTTCTGCCTTCAACTTCCCGTCTGAGAACAAGCCCCAGTATGTCCACGTCACAGGTTAGACACACACACACACACACACACACAGACACAGACACACACACACACACTTATTCCTGGAAACCCACAGGATTTAACAGTGATTGAAGAAGTAAAAGTAAAAATCTATTAAAGAACTTAAAAAATACTTAAAGAACCAAAAGTAAAAGTACTCGTTGCAGAATGGACCATTTAATCACCATATCTTTTTGTATTAAAATGATTGGTGCACTTGGATGTTGCACTTGATAAATGTGGGGTTTATTTCAATTACTGGGTAGCTCAACCTTTAATCATGTGTCGATTTATATGATGTCATAAGTCAAATCTGTAACTAAATGTGTACAATGAATGTAGTGGAGTAAAAAGTAAAACATTAGCCAACAAAATGTAGTGGAGTAAAAGTATAAAGGGGTGGGGGTAGAGGGGTCAACTAGTCAGTTAGACAGCCCAAGTACCTTACTTAGGAACAGAACTTAAGTACATGTACTTACATCCCACCTGCCTCCTGTCTACCAGGCACCATGTTCCTGCAGCTGCCCTACTCCAGGAGGAAGTTCTCCAGCGGGCAGCAGCGGCGGCGCAGGAACTCCAACAGCTCCAACAGCCAGGGGCCGTACGGCAGCGAGGAGCGGGTGGGCTACTACTGGGCCTACAACACCATGCTGACCAAGGCCTGGAGGACGGGGGTGCTGGGGGACGAGAGGCTAGCCGACCGGCTGCTGCGAGACTTCACCGACTTCTGCGCCAACAAAGACAACCGGCTGCTGCAGCTGTGGGATGGCTGCCAGGAGAAGATGAACGCCAGTGCGCCCTGAACGCAGCTTCAGATCTTTTACTAAAGTAAAGTTACTAATATCACGGTGTAGAAATTATCTTCTACAATTCCTGGATTTTTGTTTTTTACTTCAAAGAAGTACCAAAAGCATCGATATGTTTGAAGTACCAAAAGAATCGATATGTTTGAAGTACCAAAAGCATCGATATGTTTGAAGTACCAAAAGAATCGATATGTTTGAAGTACCAAAAGCATCGATATGTTTGAAGTACCAAAGGCACCAATATGTTTGAAGTACCAAAAGCATCGATATGTTTGAAGTACCAAAAGCATCGATATGTTTGAAGTACCAAAGGCACCAATATGTTTGAAGTACCAAAAGCATCGATATGTTTGAAGTACCAACAAAAAAAAGTGCTAATTTAGCAGAATATCCATTTATTGAATCTCTGGACTGGATCATTAGTGATCAATGAATGTGTTCACCCTTTTCATTTTGCGGCTATAAAGGTAGGAGCTAACTTTAATGACTTGTTATGTTGCTAATTAGATCATCATTTATTAGTTGATTTATATTTAGTATGAATAATAGGGACGAGCAAACTAACTAATGTCGTCAAATAAATGTACGATATTGGCTTCTAAAATCAAGTAAAGTTGAAGCACGTCAAAATGATTCTTAAGCTTAGTTCTTGAATATATGTACTTAGTTACTTCCCATTACTGCCTCCTCCAATAAGAATCCACCTCTGATCTGAGTGGAGGTTTACAGTATTAAAGGCTTGAATCTGTGGAAGTCTAAAGTATAATGTTGATGCCTTAAGATCAGAGTGTCTGCTCAAATGATGTGTTTTGTTCATTATTTGTTTACAAAAATAAATAAGACAATGTTTAATAAAAAGCTACTTCCTGTTATTTTCCACCAGCAGTCACAATCAATGTTAGAACAAGACATCACAGATCTGAGAAGTACATGTACTCCAGATAGGAATGATTGTCTTTGCTTGGCTGAATCATGTTCAGGTGTATATCAGTATTTAGTGTTAGGGAGTGGGGGGGGAAGTCCCTCTGGAGGGAACGAAGGGATTTGAGCCTTTGCAGACCATTAACATGCACTAAAACCTATAACACACTACAGGAGAGGGAAACCCCCCCACTTGTCTATAAGGCAGAGTGATTGAATGAAGGCAAACACACACATTTCCAGTTGCACCTCATACAAATGTTTAATCCGTGTCTCTTTTATAAAACAACAGCAGCACAGAAGTCCCTGTTCTGAACATCACCAGTGTAAATCCCTTATAGTGGCATTCACCTATTAAATATCAGTTGATCCCTTTCAAATGTAATACAATTCTGCTTTTCAAGTTCATCTGTTATTATAAAAAATATCCCTTATATACGTTCCTTTAGGTTTGTGATTATAAAGGGTAAAACAATGCAAAGGAATTATTAAGATAGAAATATGATCTTATCATAATTAGTTGTTCCATGATGATTCCAACTCAAACTGTAAACATATTGACAGTGTCCTGTATGTAAAGTGATGAGTCTGAGTGAGACTTCTCTGATGATCAGGTAGCTTCCTGTTTCAGTGTCGTCTGTACCTGCTGACAGTCTGTTTCAATGTAGTGCTCTATCAATGTGTCCTTCTCTAGTGTAATGAACCTTTACTGAAGCCTTAGCACTTAAGAGTCTTGGAATGAAGTTTAGAATGTAGTCACATCAAAATCGCTAGCGTTGCAAAGAACTGTGTTCAAATGATCCCTGCTTATTGTGCAGTGTCTGTGAACGCACCACACTCTGGATCTGGTTTCCTTTAGCGTCCTCTTCTTTAGCTCTGATGACCTTTTAGTGAAGCAGTGGTTCCCTTGTTCCCTTTGTTAAAGTATCACCAAGCATCCCCAGCATGTCAGGCTTTACCCTCATGCTCCGTGCTGTCCAATGCAATGAACAATATTTGAACTAAAAACCAGACGCTAAAGCATGTTCCTGCTCACAGCTCTATAGTGAAGCATGTACATGTCGTCACAACCCCACAGTTCAAAAGTAATAAAACTGTTATGTGTTAGTTTGCTTCTGTGAAAATAAAGTAAGCTTTATACGGTTAAATGTGAGGAAAAAACAATGTGCAAAATACTAACGCAGTGAAAGAGTGAGGCAGCAGCTGCTTCATTCATCAGCTTCCTGCTGATTAGTGACTTCATCTGGGACTTCTATTACTTTGACACTTTGACTTTGTTGTGCCACCCTGTGTTGTGTGCTGATTATATATAAACCTTTGATTTCACTTCGATTAAAAGATCATGTTTATAAATGTGGGTTTAGTGAGAAATTGAATTAAAGCGGCAGTGCAATTGTGTGTAAAGACAAACGTACGATGCAAATGAGTATTTACCTGATGTTCATAATAACCAGGCTGCAACAAAACATATTTTTGGGGAAATGATGGAAAATAGGATGTAGGTTTTTAGTAGCTATAACTGTCAGTTACTACAGAAGAATCTTTCAAGTGAAGCTCCTCCTGCTGACTGCAGTGTTCCTGTTGTCTCGCAGGGTGAACGTTGTCCGTAAAAGAGGTGGGGGGGGCTGCTAGTTTACAATGGCTGCATCCTCTGGTAGACCACCTACACACACACACACGGAAGGAGTAGTTAGGGCACAGCCTTATTTCACTCTCTATCAGTAAGGTGAAGAGACTCACGGGGTCGGATCCTGATTGGCCAGATGAGGATGGAGCAGAGCGCCAGAGCGGCGACGACGGCCACGCCCCCCGTCACTATCACCATGACGTTATGATAGAACCACACACAGTCCGGGCAGCATACCACCGTACTGAGAGAGAGATACCATCATATTATTTAACTTTTTGTTTGCATAACTGTTTTGAATTGAATGCTATTTAAATCAGTTTAATCCACACTGAAATATCTCTACAGCACGTTAACACTCATGGTCAGAGGATGATCCCTGTGTCTCTCTTTGTGTGTGTACTTACTGGCAGGGATGCAGGGCCTGAATGATGATCACAGCGATTCCATTGGCCACCTTATCAGTGAAGCTCATGGCTCCGTACACAAACGCTCCACTTTGCTGCGGGTGGAAGAAGACAGTGGATCATGTAGAAGGACACACAACACCTCCCTCCCTCCNAGAGGTTGCCGTGGCATGGTAACAGCATGGTAACAGCATGGTAACAGCATGGTAACAGCATGGTAACAGCATGCTATAAACTTAAATCAATATAAAGTTGAACTTTATATTGATTTAAGTTTATAGCATGCTGTTACCATGCTGTTACCATGCTGTTACCATGCTGTTACCATGCTGTTACCATGCCACGGCAACCTCTCATTCCCCTGATAGGTGGAGAGTTGCCCATATAGGCGGAGGTCCTTGTTTCTGACGTCAGAGAATTTTCAAATCTGTATCAGTCTGTATCAGATCCGTTGCAGCCCTGTTTTTAGAGATTTATTTGGGTATGGGGGAAAAGAGAGAGGGTTGTGTTTTCTGACACTTGGTGAGTTCCCTGACACACCGGGGACACATAAAAGAGATAAAAGACCTACAAAAGTGCATTTTGCATGAGAGGTCCCCTTTAAGTCATTGTTTAGACTTTTAAAGTGCCCATGAGCTTTTAGTCGAAACGTGAATATGTCTTGGATTCCTTCTGTTCAAAGTAAGCATGCAAGTGATGACTTAAGGGGGCTTACATGTGATTTTTCCCATTATTCCAAAACCGCTTTAATGCAGCACAAATCCCCTATCTCACATTGTTAAGGAAAGAGAAGATCCTTTCTGTCCCGTGATTCGGATCTGCTCCAAAATCTAATTGGTCTTCCACAGCCCATATAACATCATTCCCCCAAGTTGCATTAGAATCTGGACAGTAGTGTTTCTATAATCCTGCTGACAGAC